TCTCTCGACTTCAGCACAGCTTTCTTGCAGGGCAGCCTGCACGAGGAGATCTGGCTGCGCCGCCCACCTGGCTTCACTGGGTCTTTCCCTCCTGGTACCCAGTGGAGTCTCCGGCGTCCAGTCTACGGTCTCCGCCAGGCGCCACGTGAGTGGCACGACACACTGAGGACTACGCTTGCGGCTCTTGGGTTTGCTCCTTCTACTGCCGACCCGTCGCTGTTTCTGCGCACCGACACCTCTCTGCCGCCGTTCTACATCCTCGTGTACGTCGACGACTTGGTCTTTGCCACAGCTGACACTGCTGGACTCGCCTACGTGAATTCCGAGCTGCAGAAGAGACACACGTGCACTGTGAGGATCTAGGATCGAGTTCAGAAAAGAGAATGAGAATTGAGTCGAATTGAATTGAATTGAATGTCCACCTGGGTACAACACGAGGCTATATATAGGCTCGACACAAGGCCCCGTAACCAGGTGTTACGCGAAGGTTCCGCGGGTCGCGAAGCGTCCCGAATAAATCCTTACCGAATTCGGTAGAAGGCAATTCGGTGGCAACCGAAAAGCCAGAATTCGGTGCACGCAACCTAGCTCGGTGCTATAACTATAATAAAATATAGGAAAGCACCTAGCCTAGGAAATCAAGCAATTCATGCATGCATATAATTATCCTATGCTACAAATAGCATAATAAAGTAAAGGTAGGCAAGCATAGATGGCATAAGCCGTCGTACTCTCACATGCACAGACCTGGGTGAGCTGCGCAGCTACCTTGGCTTGCAGATCACCCGGGACAGAGCACGCCGCACCATTACCCTGACTCAGTCAGACATGGTGCAGCAGGTCCTTCAGCGCTTCGGCTTCACGTACTCCTCGCCTCAGGACACTCCTTTGCCTACTCGTCACTCGCTCTCAGCTCTGCCTTCGGATGAGTCCGTAGAGTCGAGTGGCCCGTATCCAGAGCTTGTTGGCTGCCTCATGTACCTGATGACCTGCACACGACCTGACCTTGCATGCCCTCTTAGCATTCTCGCACGCTATGTTGCTCCTGGGAGACACAGACCGGAGCACATGGCTGCAGCGAAGAGGGTGTTCTGCTACTTGTGCAGTACGTCAGGCATGGGGCTAGTGCTTGGAGGGCAGAGTCTAGTGGTCCTCACTGGGCACGCAGACGCTTCTTGGGCTGACGACCAGGCTACGCAGCGGTCGTCACAGGGTTACACCTTCAGCCTTGGTTCCGGCTGTGTTTCGTGGCGAGCTACTCGCTCGTCTTCTGTTCTCGGCTCCAGTTGTGAGGCTGAGATCTATGCCGGGGCCATGGCTGCACAGGAGCTTCGCTGGCTCACCTAGCTGCTGACCGACCTTGGAGAGTCGCCTCGTTCTCCTCCAGTCCTGTACGTAGACAACAAGGCCATGCTGGCCTTGTGTCGAGAGCAGAGACTGGAGCACAGAACAAAGCACATTGCTCTTTGCTACTTCCTTGCTCGTGAGCTACAGCGGCGTGATCAGTTGCGGCTTTCGTACGTGGCCTCTGAGGCCAACACTGCTGATGTCTTCACCAAGGCACTTGCGTCTTGTGATCATCAGCGCTTGTGCACGCAGTTGGGTCTTGTGCCTGTCTTGCCTCACTTGCTCACCTCTTGACCTTGCTTGTACTGTTGCATATATATATACCTGCTCTTGCTTGTCTAGTCCTTTATATATATGTACTCGTGCATGTGAACTGGCCTTGTGGCCTTGAACTTGTGCTCAGAATGTGTGGTGACTTTGTGATCCACCCTGAGCTTGCTTTGCTTTGCTTTGCTTGACTGGTCTTGTGACCCCTTGTTCTCCCCCACTTTGCCTATGGGGGTGTGTCAGAACATATAGCTTGTGCTTATTGTGTAGGCTATAGTGGGGTAGCCCATAAGGGGTGCAACCCAATTAGGGTTAGTACTTGTACTCAGTTCGTTCATAGTTCATTCATTCTCGTTTTTGTTTTCTCATGAACGAATCTCTGAAGGCACGGAGGTGAGGCACCGCAGCCTCTTGAATATGCTCAGCAACGATCGTGTCATGGCGGGGGCCATCAAATGCATGCAAGGAGCTCACTCAATTGCGCGGAACGATGCACCTATCGCGCTCTGCCCCATGCTGGTGCGGTTCATGGCGGAGCAAGGATGCCCCGACATGATGACCGACGAATCGTACGGTCGTTATTACTCGCGGTACTTGCTTGTTAGCCTCTGTTTCTGCTCCTGATTTCCTGCTTTTGCTTCTGTTCTTATGCTTCTGCTTTGTTCTACTTCTGCTGTTCTGTTGTGGATAACTTACTCCCATTTTCATTCGGTGCTCATTGTAGATACGCCTTCGGCGAGTTCGTAAAGGCTATGGCGGAGCATCTGGTGGCCAAGCAGCTCGAGGACATGAAAGAGTCGGCCTGGTACAGCCTCTTCTTCGATGAATCCACGGATCGTGTGCGTGGAAAGCATCTCATCGTGTATGTCACGTTTGAGAGAGCCGAGGCCGTGGTGTCCAAGTTTCTTGCTCTCCTGTCACTCGAACGTTGCGACGCCGCAGCACTACACGACACGATCGTGAAGTGTTTGTGGTCGAAGGACATGTCGCTGGACAAGCTTGTCGGGGTGTCAACGGATGGTGCATCCGTGATGACTGGCGCGAAGAACGGCGTTGTCGCCATGCTTCGGAAACGTTGCCCGTGGCTGGTGGCGATTCACTGCGCGGTGCATCGGTAAGGTTGCACTGCACTGCTTCCGATCGTATTGTACACTTGTCCCCTCCCCAACCATACTCACGCATGTCTCGTGCTTGTGCGGCGAGGCATTGGCTGCCAAGGATGCCGCGAAGAGCTTCAAGGAGTTCAACGTCGTAGATCATATGATATGCCAGACTACAGAGCGTCTCGGGCGTTCATCGACCGATCACAAGACCTACATGCATCTCCAGGACGACATTCTGCAGACGCACCTGGAGGTGCAAGGCTTCTGCACCGTCTGTTGGTTGTCTCGCGGGGATGCTGTGAGTCGCTTCTGTGACGTGCTGCCGGTGCTGATGTGGATGTGGACGAAGGAGAAGGGCGAGACGGAGAAACTCGCTACCAGCTTCAAGTTCCACTACATGCTGTATCTCCTGGCTGACGTGCGTGCGCTGCTCAACGGACTCAATCCGTCTTTCCAGAAGCAGACGGTAAGGTGCAGATGAGCATGGCGTTGTCGCTTCTTGACATGTGTGCTTTGCTCTAATTTTTTCGCGCTCTGTTTGCTTTCAGGTCGACATTACAGAGGTGAAGAGCCATGTCGACAAGGTGAAGACCAAGCTGTCGCATTACTACGTCGAACCCGGCGCATCCAACGGGCCGAACACCTCTCGCCTGAACAAGTTCCTTGCTGCACACGGCAGCAAGGACAAGCGCAAGATGGAGCTCAAGGGAGTGGACGAGAACGGAAAGCATGCAAAAGCCGAGATCGAGCTTCACGAGGACATCATCGACCCTGAAAACCCTGGGGGGGGATGCGACTTGGAGGCCTGCATGGACCTGGCGAGGCCTTTCGCTCAGCGCCTGATTAAGGCGCTGGGGAAGAGGATGGCGGGTCTGCGTCATTTCAATGGTGTTGGTTTTTTCTCCCCTGATAAGTATCCTGACCGTGCAGGAGAGCAGGACGCGTGGGTGAAGCTCCATCTCTCCGAGCTCCTTGACATGTTCAAGAACAAGCTACCTGGTAAGACGAGAGGGGTAGAGTAGGAACCTTGTAAAGGTTCTAACCTTGTTTATGTTCTAACCTTGAATATGGTTTTCTCCAGCATTGGCATGTTCTAACCTTGTTGTATATGTCCTTGGCAGGAGTCGCTCTTGCTGACATAGAGCCGCAGATGCGCCTCTTCACAGCCACCATGGAGAAGAAGTTCAAGAAGCAGAGCTTCCATCAGGCTCTCACCAACATGCTGCGCACGGCAGACTGGAAGGATGACTATCCCACCATAGTCTCCCTCTGGCGTGCAGTCTCTGTGTTGCCCCTCAGCACTGTTGAGTGTGAGAGGGGCTTCTCCCGCCAAAACATTATTAAGTCGTGGGATCGTGTTGCTCTTACTGATGTTAGGCTAGGGGAGCTGATGACGGTGAAGATGCTAGACTACCCAGTGGACTGGGCAGCGGCCTATGCCTTGTTTGAGGAGAAGGGGAGGAAGGGGAGGAAGCCTGCCAAATAGGCTTGCATTGCATGTTTGGGTAGAGTAGGGTAGTTAAATCTGCATGCTAAATCTGTAGTTAGTGAAAAGTAGAACATTGCAGGCAAGGTAGGTTTTATGACCATTGAAGACATGTGTAGTATTAGGTATGACTGACATCTAATATAAGTTGAAAACTGCACGTATCACAGTAAAATACAGTGTAAGTGTAAACTTCAAATGTGCCCGGATTTCAAGTTTTCACTTTGGGGTGCGCCCGTGACAGTTAAGGGGTGCCAAAACGCACACCTACACCCAACCAAGGGTCAGATGCGGAGGAGCTGGGGAGCGCAAGTACGAGCCCCAGAAACTTCGACAGGCCTGCTACTGACCACGACCAGTCACCTGGATATCAACTTGGGTAGCAGATGCATATGTCGGATGGAGGTACATTCGATCTTTCTACTTTCTTATATGTAGCTGAAGTGATTTCATCTTTATGTGGGTTGCACCTTCTTGTAATGTAAATTGTTGGTCTCATGCACGATGCACCTAACTGACATGTACCCGCTGATGTTTATGGTTATTTTGAGCCAATAACATGAAGGAAAATAATATTCCCTACTGATACACTAAATTCCACTACACTTACTAACACATTACGTGTTTAGGGTGTGTAGCGGAAAGTGTGCATTAGGGATGCAAGCAGTACAAATAGCAACCCTATAAATGTGTTGTACTCCCTACAGTGCTACTCACTGTAGCCTAACAAGATATTATAACATTTGACACGCATGCACAATTCATTTTTGAGACGGCCCAAAAATAACATGCTGTAGTTAACCGGACACTCCAGTGACAACACTGCTGTCAACAACTTCCAAACTAATCTCTTCTCCCTCACTCTCCTCCTCACTTCCCTCCTCTTTCCCTCCCTCTCCACTTTCCACACCTTTCCCTCCCTCCACTCCCCCCTTCTTACCCTCCCCATCGACCTCTCTCCTCCGTCCACCCAGCCTCTCCCTAATCCCCTCCTCAATCTCCCTCGCAACCTCCACGTTCTCCTTAAGAAAGTTCCTCGCGCCTTCCTTCCCCTGCCCGATCACTTCACCATCCTTTTTGTACCACGCACCAGACAGCGTAAGCAAGCCTTCTTTCACCCCCAAATCCAGGAGTTCCCCCTCCCGGGATATCCCGTGGCCAAACTCAATGTCGAATTCTGCCGTGCGGAAGGGCGGCGCAAGCTTGTTCTTGTTCACAGTTACGCGCACGCGGTTACCAACAATCTGAGGCAGAGAACGGCATGATGGGGTAGCAGGGGAGAAGTGGGGGGAGCGGGAAGGGAGGAGAGAATGGGGGGGGACAGAGGTAGAAAGAGCATGGGAGAAGGGAGGGAGGAGAAGTAAGTGTGAGCAGGCCCTCACTCATCTCCAAGTCTAGGAGTTCCCCCTCCCGGGATATCCCGTGGCCAAACTCAATGTCAAACTCTGCCGTGCGGAAGGGCGGCGCAAGCTTGTTCTTGTTCACCGTTACGCGCACGCGGTTACCAACAATCTACAACGAAGAGGTGAGGATAGGTTAGCAGGGGAGGGGGGTAGGGGTGTGGGGGAAGCGAGGAGAGAACGGGAGGGAATGGCGGTAAACGGGAAATGAGGAGTGAGAGTGAGAAGGCCCTCTTTACTCCCAGCCCTCTTTTGAGGCGCCTCAAAAGGCCTCTTTACTACCAGCTCCAACAGTTCCCCCTCCTGGGATATGTCCAGTGACCAAACTCAGTACTGAACTCTGCCGTGCGGAAGGGCGGCGCGAGCTTGTTCTTGTTCACCGTTACACGCATGCGGTTACCAACAATCTGAGGCGGAGAGGTGAGGATGGGTTAGCAGGAGGGGGGAAGGGGGGGAGAAGGAAAGTGGGAGGGGACGGGGTAGCGAGAGGATGGGAGCAAGGAAAGGAGGAGTGAGTGTGAGCGATTTTTTTCTCATCCGCAGGTCTAGGCGTTATCCTTTCTGATAGAGTGGTGAGTGCTGGCTTATCTCAATGTCACACCTGAGTGCTGTAGAGTGCTGAGTGGGGCTGTAAGGTGCTGAGGGGTGTTATGGGATGTTGTGGGATGCAGCGGGGTACAGAGGGGCGCTGGACCCAGCTCTCCTCCCAGCTTCAGCTGCGCCACTCTCTTAATGTGCAGCCGCAGCAACGCAGAGAACCTGACTGCCTTAGGGTGCACTGTTCTGTGGTGCTGCAGGGTGCCGAGGGGTGCTTGAGATTTCCCACCTTTTCTCCCTGCTTCAGCTGTGCCACTCTCTCAATGTACAGCTGCAGAGACGCATAGAACTTGAGAGCATCGTCCCAGTGTGTGCCACTCACTAAAGAGATGCCATGCCTGAGTGCTGTAGGGTGCTGTGGGGAGCTGCAAGGTGCTGTGGGGTGCTGCAAGGTGCTGTGGGATGCTGAGGGGTGATTGGGAGTTGATAAATGCACCTTTTCTCCCTGCTTCATCTACGTCACCCTCTCGAGTAAATGCTGTGGAGTGCTTGATGGTGCTGAGTGGTGCTGAGGGGTGAGTTAGGGTGCAGAGGGGTACAGAGGAGCGCTGAACCCACCTTTTCTCCCTGCTTCAGCTGCGCCACTCTCTTAATGTGCAGTCGCAGCGACGCATAGAACTTGAGCGCATTCCCCCCCGACGTCACCTCCACCGGCATGCCCATGCCTGGCCCTCCCATCATGAGCTTCGACCGCACCTGAACATGAACAGGGGAGAGCGGAGGGAGGAGCGAAGGAGTTTAGGGAAGGAGCACTCCCCCCAGACGTCACCTCCACCACCATGCCATGCCCATCCCCGGCCCTCCCATCATGAGCTTCGATCGCACCTGCATGTGGACAGCGAGACACGGGGAAGAGGGAAGGGAGGAGCAATGCCTCCAGACGTCACCTCCACCACCATGCCATGCCCATCCCCGGCCCTCCCATCATGAGCTTCGAGCGCACTGCACCCACCCACTTACCATTCCAACCGCACTGTACCCACCTGATTGACGAAGATGAGCACTGCCTGCGAGCGGTTGAGCGCCCCTGACAGCTTCCTCAGCGCCTGAGACATCATGCGTGCCTGCAGGGCTATGAAGGAGTCCCCCATCTCTCCTTCCAGCTCCGCTTGGGGCACCAGCGCTGCCACCTGTGTTGCACAAGCAATATGGGGGAAAGTGGAGCATGGAGGGAAAAGTGGAGCATGGAGGGGAAAGTGGAGCATGGAGGGGCAAGTGGAGCATGGAGGGGAAAGTGGAGCATGGAGGGGCAAGTGGAGCATGGAGGGGAAAGTGGAGCATGGAGGGGCAAGAGGGGACAAGTGAGGAAAATGAGACATCATGCGCGCTTGCAGGGCTATGAAAGAGTTTCCCATCTCTCCCTCCAGCTCCCGCGTGCAGTACAAGTTCTGTCAGCTGTCGTAAGAACAAGGGAGAATTGATGATTGAAGAGAAGGGGGGAAAGAAGAAGGGTAGAAGACAGAACCTTAAACCTTGCCATGACATTTAACACCTAAAGCTCCTCCCCACCACTCACACTATCAACCACAATGACGTCATAAGCACCGCTCCTGACGTTCTGATCCACAAGAGCCAACCCTGTCTCGCCACTGTCAGGCTGAGACAGGTGATGCGAGTCATATCCACTCCGAAAACCTATTTCCCAGATCCCTACGCCACTCACACTATCAACCACAATCACGTCATAGGCGCCACTCCTAACGTTCTGATCCACCGGAGCAAGTCCTGTCTCCCCACTGTTCGTAAACCGTAATCCTGAAGCCCACAACTCGAAAGCACTCGCACTATCACCACAATCACGAAAGGAAAGGGCTCGATGGATATGAAGGCCCATGCTGCTTTGTTTGTTTGTTTGTTTGTTTGTCTTTTTTTCCGCAACAAATTCTTGACAAGAAAAATGTTAGCTCGACGTGTCAAATCTGAAATTCTTGCTTTGCCCCCATTCAGGAAGAGCAAGATGCTGCGTTAAAGAAGCAGTGGGAGGTGGGGAAGTTGAATGCGCAGCTGGAGAGTTCGAGGGAGAGGTGGAGGCTGGAGGAAGAAGAAATGAGGGCTGAAATTGAAGAAATGAAGAGCAAATGGGAGGAGCAGAAAGAGGAGGCAAAAGACGACTCCACTTGCTCAGCACTGCAGGGCAGCGGTGCGCGGAGCAAGTCCTCTTTTGCCTCCTCCCATTTGCTCTTCATTTCTTCAATTTCAGCCCTCATTTCTTCCTCTTCCATCCTCCACCTCTCCCTCGAACTCTCCAACTGTGCATTCAACTTCTCCACCCTCCCACTGCAGCTTTAACGCAGCATCTCGCTCTTCCTTAATGGGAGCAAAGCAAGAATTCAGATTTGACACGTCGAATAATATTTTTCTTGTCAAGAATTCGTTGCGGAAAAAAAAAAACTAAAACAGCATGTGCCTTCATATCCATCGAGCCCTTTCCTCCCAGTTTTGATCCACAAGAGCCAGGCCCGTCTCGCCACTATCAGGTGGGACAGGTGCATGCGAGTCATGTCCACTCCACCCCCAGAGCCTTAAACTTGAAACCCCATACCCGACCCTAAACCTGAAAATCGGAACCTTGTTCCACTCACGCTGTCCACCACAATGACGTCATAGGCACCACTCCTGACGTTCTGATCCACCAGAGCCAGGCCTGTCTCCCCACTATCAGGCTGAGACAGGTGCATGCGAGTCATATCCACCCCCAGGGCCTTTGCAAGGTCAATGTCGAGCGAATGCTCCGCATCCACAAAGTAAGCCGCACCTGAGGTTTCGGGTTGTTGGGAACACGGGACAACAAATGAGAGAGGTGCATGCGGGTCATGTCCACTCCCACAGCCTTAGCAAGGTCAATGTCAAGAGAATGCTCCGCATCCACAAAGTAGGCTGCACCTGAGATTGAAGGTTTAGGGTGTTGGGAACAAGGAACAGCAAATGGGACAGGTGCATGCGAGTCATGTCCACCCCCAGGGCCTTAGCCAGGTCGACATCGAGTGAATGCTCCGCATCCACGAAGTAGGCCGCTCCTGGGAGTGGAGTGAAGGGAACGAGTGACAATGAAGGAGACAGACAGGTGCATGCGATGCGAGTCATGTCCACCCCCAGGGCCTTGGCCAGGTCGATGTCGAGCGAATGCTCCGCATCCACAAAGTAGGCCGCTCCTGTTGGTGGGTTATGGGTGAGACCGTGAGGGGAACGAGGGACAATGAATGAATGAACAGAACAGGTGAATGCGAGTCATGTCTGTCCACTGTCCACCCCCAGCGCCCCCTGCTTTTGCCCCCCTCCCTCCCCCACTCACACTCCTCTCCTCTCCTCTACGCCTCTGCTGCCACCACATGCGGCGCCAGTGTTGTGTTGCATGTTGCCTTCGCCACAAGCAGTCACAATGTTGCCAACACCCCCCTCTCTTCCCCTCTATCCCCTCCCCACTCACCTCCTCGCTTCTGCGCCTCTGCCTGCTGCCTTCGATACAAGCAGTCACATGTTGCCAACACTATGCACGAGCACAACTCACCCCCCCGTCCCCTCCCTCCCCCCCATTCCCCCTCTCCTTCCCCACTCTCACCTCCTCTCTTCTGAGCCTCTGCCACCACATGTAGCGCCAGGGTTGTCTTGCCTGTTGCCCTTCGCCACAACCTCTTGAGAAATCGAAAAAATCACAATGTTGCCAGCACTACACACGCGTGAGAACACATACCCACTCCCCTTCTCTCACCTCCTCTCTTCTGAGCCTCTGCCACCACATGTAGCGCCAGGGTAGTCTTGCCCGTTGCCTCGGGCCCATAGATCTCCACCACTCGGCCCTGGGGGACGCCCAAGGTACAGAGGCACAGAGGCACAGAGTGACAGGCGAATAAATGCCAGGGGAGAAAAAAAGAAAGCATGTGTTGACTTTTGAGACGTCTCAAAACAGTGCCAGGGTAGTCTTGCCCATTGCCTCGGGCCCATAGATCTCCACCACTCGGCCCCGGGCGACGCCCAAGGTACAGAGGCATGGAGTGACAGAGGGAAATAAAAGAAAAAGACGTTGGTTGCTAAGTGCGGGGCCTTCGGAGGTTGCGTAATGTCAACTCTTTAGCTGAGCTGCTACTCCTCCGAAGGAGCAGAGGGGGGACGTAGCTGAGCTGCTACTCCTACTCCTACGTCCCCCCTCTGCTCCTTCGGTGCGAGTTCGCCAAGCAAGCGTCTAATCTTGAAATCACTTTTGAGAATTCTCAAAAGTGTTTGCCAAGCAAGCGTCTAATCTTTAGCGAAAGCAGGCTTGCAAAGAGAAGAACGGCGTGTACGAGGAATACATAAATTGAGCTGCCACAACACAAAAAAAGGGTAACTGTTCTGGAAAAAGCGCCAGCTGCATATGGCTGGTGAGGAAAGGGACGGCGAGAAGCGGAAGAGCGTGTGAGGGGTGAGTGCGTGTAGAAGAGAAAGAATAAGGCACCATAGAACGAACGACTGTTGATGGAAAAAGGCTTGACCGAAGAATATGAAAAGAAAAGGCAGCACGCGAAGCACCGGCGTGCGGCTGCAATCCGAGAAGATGGCTGGTGAAAAAAGAAGAGTTGAGACGTCTCGAAAAGGCAGCATGCAGAGGTCAGCATCCAGAGGTCAGCATCCAGAGGGAAGCATCCAGAGGTCAGCATCCAGAGGGAAGCACTCGAGCTCTGGTGGGACGCATCTGTGCTTCAGTGAGTGCCTGATTGCCAACAGAATTCACCTAAAACTTGCATTGTACTCATAAAAATACTCACCCGAGGGAATCCTCCAATCCCAGGGGCGGCATCCAGGGCAATGGAGCCTGCCTGAGGAGATGACCGGGACGCAGCAGGCTGCCATGTTGGTATTGGTGGTTCAGTACGTGTCTGACTGCTTGCAGTAGGAGGCATGTACAGCACGCATGTTGACTTTTGGGTCGACTCAAAAGTCGACTGCTTGCAGTAGGAGGCATGTACAGCACGCATGCGTTGCCCGCACACACACTCACCCGTGGGAAGCCCCCAATCCCAAGGGCGGAGTCCAGGGCAATGGAGCGCGAGGGAATGACCGGGACGCGGTGCAAGGTCAGGTCAGCATTGGTGCTTCGGTGAGTGTTTGATTGCAACAGGATTCACCTGGAGCATGCAGTGCATTGCCCAGTGCCCACCCACAAACTCGTGACTCACCCGTGGGAAGCCCCCAATCCCGAGGGCGGAATCTAGGGCGATGGAGCCTGAGGGGATGACTGGGACGCGGTGGGCGGCCAAGTCCGCCTCAGTGCCGCCCAGAACCATCACTGCCTCCCGCCCAAACTTGGCTCGCAGCTGCAGAGGTGTGTGGGGTGGGGGGAGACAAAACAAGGGGGGTGAGCGACTAGCTCAGCATCAGTGCCGCCCAGAACCATAACTGCCTCCTGGAGAGACTTGGCTCGCAGCTGAAGGGGCGAGTGGGGCGAGAGAGGAATGCAAATAGCAGTCCTGGTGGTGAGTGAGAGGAAGGGAGAAAATGCGGAGGAGAGTGTGAGGAAGGTGAGAAGGGGAAGGAGAACGTGGGGAAGAGGAGACGGTGGAATAGCATGGTCTTGCACCATATCTGCTCACACCACCACACCTCCTCACCTCCGTTACTTCTCACACCATTATACCTGCTCGCACGACCATATCTGCTCACTCCACCACACCTCCTCGCTCCACCATACCTCCTCACACCTCACACCTCCTCACTCCATCATACCTCCTCACACCTCAAACTTCCTCATTCCACCAAACCTTACCTCCTCACACCACCATCATACCTCCTGAACAGCTTGCTCCAGCAGCTGCTGCTTCCTTGTGACTAGTTCCTTCTCAATCTTCTCCTCCACCTTCCCTCCTCTCCCTGCCTTTCCTCCTCACCATACCTCCTCACACTACAATACCTCCTCCCACCTCATACCTTCTCACACCACCATACCTCCTGAACGACTTGCTCCAGCAGCTGCTGTGGCTGTTGCAAGAATTCTCGAAATCAGGTTACCACCATACCTCCTCACCATACCTACCTCGTCACCATACCTCCTCACACCACCATCATACCTCCTGATCACCATACCTCCTCACACCACCATCATACCTCCTGAACGGCTTGCTCCAGCAGCTGCTGCTGCTGTTGCAAGAATTCTCGAAATCAGGTTACCACCATACCTCCTCACCATACCTACCTCCTCACCATACCTCCGCACCACCATACCTCCTGATCACCATACCTCCTCACACCACCATCATACCTCCTGAACGGCTTGCTCCAGCAGCTGCTGCTTCCTTGTGACTAGGTCCTTCTCAATCTTCTCCTCCACCTTCCCTCCTCTCCCTGCCTTTCCTCCTCACCATACCTCCTCACACTACAATACCTCCTCCCACCTCATACCTTCTCACACCACCATACCTCCTGAACGACTTGCTCCAGCAGCTGCTGCTGCTGTTGCAAGAATTCTCGAAATCAGGTTACCACCATACCTCCTCACCATACCTACCTCCTCACCATACCTCCGCACCACCATACCTCCTGATCACCATACCTCCTCACACCACCATCATACCTCCTGAACGGCTTGCTCCAGCAGCTGCTGCTTCCTTGTGACTAGGTCCTTCTCAATCTTCTCCTCCACCTTCCCTCCTCTCCCTGCCTTTCCTCCTCACCATACCTCCTCACACTACAATACCTCCTCCCACCTCATACCTTCTCACACCACCATACCTCCTGAAAGACTTGCTCCAGCAGCTGCTGCTGCTGTTGCAAGAATTCTCGAAATCAGGTTACCACCATACCTCCTCACCATACCTACCTCCTCACCATACCTCCGCACCACCATACCTCCTGATCACCATACCTCCTCACACCACCATCATACCTCCTGAACGGCTTGCTCCAGCAGCTGCTGCTTCCTTGTGACTAGGTCCTTCTCAATCTTCTCCTCCACCTTCCCTCCTCTCCCTGCCTTTCCTCCTCACCATACCTCCTCACACTACAATACCTCCTCCCACCTCATACCTTCTCACACCACCACCATACCTCCTGAACGGCTTGCTCCAGCAGCTGCTGCTGCTGTTGCAAGAATTCTCGAAATCAGGTTACCACCATACCTCCTCACCATACCTACCTCCTCACCATACCTCCGCACCACCATACCTCCTGATCACCATACCTCCTCACACCACCATCATACCTCCTGAACGGCTTGCTCCAGCAGCTGCTGCTTCCTTGTGACTAGGTCCTTCTCAATCTTCTCCTCCACCTTCCCTCCTCTCCCTGCCTTTCCTCCTCACCATACCTCCTCACACTACAATACCTCCTCCCACCTCATACCTTCTCACACCACCACCATACCTCCTGAACGGCTTGCTCCAGCAGCTGCTGCTGCTGTTGCAAGAATTCTCGAAATCAGGTTACCACCATACCTCCTCACCATACCTACCTCCTCACCATACCTCCGCACCACCATACCTCCTGATCACCATACCTCCTCACACCACCATCATACCTCCTGAACGGCTTGCTCCAGCAGCTGCTGCTTCCTTGTGACTAGGTCCTTCTCAATCTTCTCCTCCACCTTCCCTCCTCTCCCTGCCTTTCCTCCTCACCATACCTCCTCACACTACAATACCTCCTCCCACCTCATACCTTCTCACACCACCACCATACCTCCTGAACGGCTTGCTCCAGCAGCTGCTGCTGCTGTTGCAAGAATTCTCGAAATCAGGTTACCACCATACCTCCTCACCATACCTACCTCCTCACCATACCTCCGCACCACCATACCTCCTGATCACCATACCTCCTCACACCACCATCATACCTCCTGAACGGCTTGCTCCAGCAGCTGCTGCTTCCTTGTGACTAGGTCCTTCTCAATCTTCTCCTCCACCTTCCCTCCTCTCCCTGCCTTTCCTCCTCACCATACCTCCTCACACTACAATACCTCCTCCCACCTCATACCTTCTCACACCACCATACCTCCTGAACGACTTGCTCCAGCAGCTGCTGCTGCTGTTGCAAGAATTCTCGAAATCAGGTTACCACCATACCTCCTCACCATACCTACCTCCTCACCATACCTCCGCACCACCATACCTCCTGATCACCATACCTCCTCACACCACCATCATACCTCCTGAACGGCTTGCTCCAGCAGCTGCTGCTTCCTTGTGACTAGGTCCTTCTCAATCTTCTCCTCCACCTTCCCTCCTCTCCCTGCCTTTCCTCCTCACCATACCTCCTCACACTACAATACCTCCTCCCACCTCATACCTTCTCACACCACCATACCTCCTGAACGACTTGCTCCAGCAGCTGCTGCTGCTGTTGCAAGAATTCTCGAAATCAGGTTACCACCATACCTCCTCACCATACCTACCTCCTCACCATACCTCCGCACCACCATACCTCCTGATCACCATACCTCCTCACACCACCATCATACCTCCTGAACGGCTTGCTCCAGCAGCTGCTGCTTCCTTGTGACTAGGTCCTTCTCAATCTTCTCCTCCACCTTCCCTCCTCTCCCTGCCTTTCCTCCTCACCATACCTCCTCACACTACAATACCTCCTCCCACCTCATACCTTCTCACACCACCATACCTCCTGAACGACTTGCTCCAGCAGCTGCTGCTGCTGTTGCAAGAATTCTCGAAATCAGGTTACCACCATACCTCCTCACCATACCTACCTCCTCACCATACCTCCGCACCACCATACCTCCTGATCACCATACCTCCTCACACCACCATCATACCTCCTGAACGGCTTGCTCCAGCAGCTGCTGCTTCCTTGTGACTAGGTCCTTCTCAATCTTCTCCTCCACCTTCCCTCCTCTCCCTGCCTTTCCTCCTCACCATACCTCCTCACACTACAATACCTCCTCCCACCTCATACCTTCTCACACCACCATACCTCCTGAACGACTTGCTCCAGCAGCTGCTGCTGCTGTTGCAAGAATTCTCGAAATCAGGTTACCACCATACCTCCTCACCATACCTACCTCCTCACCATACCTCCGCACCACCATACCTCCTGATCACCATACCTCCTCACACCACCATCATACCTCCTGAACGGCTTGCTCCAGCAGCTGCTGCTTCCTTGTGACTAGGTCCTTCTCAATCTTCTCCTCCACCTTCCCTCCTCTCCCTGCCTTTCCTCCTCACCATACCTCCTCACACTACAATACCTCCTCCCACCTCATACCTTCTCACACCACCATACCTCCTGAACGACTTGCTCCAGCAGCTGCTGCTGCTGTTGCAAGAATTCTCGAAATCAGGTTACCACCATACCTCCTCACCATACCTACCTCCTCACCATACCTCCGCACCACCATACCTCCTGATCACCATACCTCCTCACACCACTATCATACCTCCTGAACGGCTTGCTCCAGCAGCTGCTGCTTCCTTGTGACTAGGTCCTTCTCAATCTTCTCCTCCACCTTCCCTCCTCTCCCTGCCTTTCCTCCTCACCATACCTCCTCACACTACAATACCTCCTCCCACCTCATACCTTCTCACACCACCATACCTCCTGAACGACTTGCTCCAGCAGCTGCTGCTGCTGTTGCAAGAATTCTCGAAATCAGGTTACCACCATACCTCCTCACCATACCTACCTCCTCACCATACCTCCGCACCACCATACCTCCTGATCACCATACCTCCTCACACCACCATCATACCTCCTGAACGGCTTGCTCCAGCAGCTGCTGCTTCCTTGTGACTAGGTCCTTCTCAATCTTCTCCTCCACCTTCCCTCCTCTCCCTGCCTTTCCTCCTCACCATACCTCCTCACACTACAATACCTCCTCCCACCTCATACCTTCTCACACCACCATACCTCCTGAACGACTTGCTCCAGCAGCTGCTGCTGCTGTTGCAAGAATTCTCGAAATCAGGTTACCACCATACCTCCTCACCATACCTACCTCCTCACCATACCTCCGCACCACCATACCTCCTGATCACCATACCTCCTCACACCACCATCATACCTCCTGAACGGCTTGCTCCAGCAGCTGCTGCTTCCTTGTGACTTGGTCCTTCTCAATCTTCTCCTCCGCCTTCCCCCCTCTCCCTGCCTTTCCGTCCCTCGCCTGCTGCACTGCTGCTGCCTTGCCAGTGCGCCGACCTGCACGGATCAAGTGCAGATGCCGTGACAGGGACAATAAGTAATGGGTCTTCATCCCTCTCCTCGCCCCTCGTGTGCTGCACTGCTGCTGCCTTGCCAGTGCGTCGACCTGAAAGATCATCAGCGCACGCATTATCAGCAAATAAATGGGCGCATGCATGATCAGTGCATGTGCATGCACACAGAGGCAGGCCAAAGTATCACCACACATCCATTCCCCTTTCTAGGGAATACATGCTGACGTGGCACTTCTGAACGTAATAACGGATCATTGCTACATCAATTCAGCTTCATGACGTGGCTGAATGAATTACACCACATGTGAATACAACCCAACCTATCTCACCTTTCGCTGAGCTGAATCTAGCAACAGAGAGCCCGCCATAAATGCCGCTCGTTCGGATTCCATCGCCACCAACTGCGATTGTCCCATTCCGAACCAAGCCATGCAGTTGAGCCGAAGCAGCTGCCGAGCCTGCTGTGCCTACGTGGCCTGCCGAACTAAGAGGTTCGGCAACAGCCCAGTGACCAGGCTTGCTGAGCGGCATGGAATTTGCCAAAGCCCAGGGTTGGTGGCGACAAGGTTCTTTACTGCAGTTGGCCACGTCAAATGTGGTCACGGCCACGTCAGCTGTGGCCCAGGCTGCATTGTTGGTCAACATTTGTGTGTCCGTACTCAAGCTGCTTGTAAGCACAGGGATGTTACTGCTGGTAACCACAAGGGCGCTGCTGCTGTTGTTTCTATCTGTTTGCCTTGTGACTTTGTTACAAATGCTGCTGTCACCGTTTATGCTGACTGGACTATCCAACCCTAAAGAGCCACGCGTACAACCAATTTGACAAGCTGAGCCCTGCCACGTGTGTCCAAGGCATTGGCGGGCCCTTCTGCCTGAAAGCCGCCGCGCTAAAACGCCAAGACCAGACATGGTCTAAGAATCTCTACTATTTCACAAGCTTTAAACGCCTCTAGTGAATTAAAAGAGGTCCGTGAGAGGCGAAGAAACGCGCGAGTTACTCGATGCTGCTGCGACAGCTGAGACTCACATCTGACATCCCCTATGTTAGATCCCTAGATTGCGGTTCTGGGATAAACTACTCTCGGGTGTGTCCGAATGGTGGACAGCAGCGCAATTGTGAATCACACGTATAGAATCTATGAAACAAAACGGAAGCACAATATGCCGGGAAGGGACGCACCAGCTCACAAGGTCAGCAGACAGAAAGTCTGCGGGGGAAGACATGGAGGAGGAAACAGATCCGCACGGAGCAATCCGTATATGCGGGTGAGCCGGGCAGTAACAACGATTGGTGGCGTCTTTATGACGATTCTGTCTTCAATCGGAAACTACACCTCAAATTCTATCTTTATATTTTATTGAATTAGGTTCTGTAACAGTTCTTGAAGGAAGGCTGTTTCATCTTACACACAATCAGACAAGTCCACCACATGAGAAAAACAATTTCCCAAAGGTGTGGCGCACGACATTGAATGCATTCGCAAAGCGCCAGCGGGAAGTGGCTGATAAGATTTGTGCTGAAATTCTCTTCAACCTTGGATCTTTCTCCTCACAGTACCGATCCTTCCAGTCAGCAGGTTCAACCGCCTCAACACCCAAGTCAGGAACCCGATCCTTGGACTGCATTCTATCCATCTGCATCCAATCAGGCACAAAAGTGGAAGCTCTCCTCCTGAACTTGGTCTTGAACTCCGACCATGCCTGGTACTTGTAGTGGAAAAGAGCAGCACGCTTATTGCCCACATGTGCTGTGCAGTACTGATGCTCCAAGATTGTGAAGTGGTGTATCACATTGTGTAACGGAGGAGCTATGGCTTCAGTGGGAATAATTGACTTGTGACGATCAGGAAGTTTCAGCCTGCACGTGTATCCAGATACCACTCCCTTTTCTGGGTGTTCTTGATGACCTGATGGGCCAAACAAAAGGCCGGGTAGCGCAATCTGCCCAAGCTGTTGACACGACTCGTTTCTACCTGCGGCCTTCTTTGCTGCAGCATGCCCCTTAACCATACCTCTCACAAACTTGTTGAGAAGAACGGAATACTGACTTCCAGCAGCGAACAGGCTCCGTGACTCAATCTCCTTCACCATCCGTGCCGGGAAGACAAACTCGTCCACGTCAAAGAACATGGCCCACGTGCAGAGCTTCTTGGCTTGCAGGGCACAATGAGAGAAACCGCCTTCCTGTGACTTGAGCCAGGGCCAGCTACGTATAGTGGCTGAAACTTGAAAGCCTCGAGCACGGCCGGTCCCCTGAGCTTCTTTGATGGACTTCCAAAGCCCGTCTTCACTGCCGTTGTCATACACAAAGAAATGCTCCACACCAAGAAATGCGTGGTACAGCAGCCACTCCCCCATGAACTTCGCGCTGTCAAGGACCATTGTGCATGCACACAGGTAGTACTGCTTCATGGGGGAATCGCCGATGGATGGCATACGGTTGGTGTGGGAATACCCGTTTCGAAGAACACTGCGCCCGCTTTGGCTGGCTGTAGTGGCTGTGGTGTCTTCGCTGTGATTGGCTACCTGTGGTGGCTCACCGGATACCAAGCTGATAAAACCGAGTGAGGAGTTGAGCCTACAAACAGAAGCTACAGACGGTAAAGGTGATCCATGCACTGAAAGCGTGACTGGAGTGTTGAGGCATCCACATGCTGAACGTATTGAGCTGGCTTGAGGGATCGGGCAGAGTGCAATCTCCTGGGAGAGTATCAAGGGAGCTGTCTCAGCTCCGTCCACCATGCACTTGACCTGGCCGTGACTCCAGTTCTGAAGGTTAGTAATGCCTTTCGCCCAGACATTTAGGCCTTCTAGTTCAGCTGCTGCAGCATACACTAATCTATCCCAGGACGCCTGATGAAGCTTGCGCGCGAGCAGATCTATGCTCTGTCGAAATATATTGTCATGTTTTATAACTGCTTGTAGTTGTAGTTAGTGTAGTTATTTAAACTGTTGTTGGTGGTGCACCTTATTTGGTTTCTATGCTATATGTACCCTTGAACCTATAGTGAAACCATCCCTTTTCACCAATTCCTCTCTCAACTCACTCGACACCTCGCCTAGGGCAAAACCCGCTCGATACCTAAGTACGGGCCTAGGCTACTAAGCCTAGGCCCTTCCTTTCAACTTAGCCTATTACTTTGACATGGTATCAGAGCTTTTTACGACCTGGCCTGTGGGCCCGCCTTACGCTTCCGCGATGATTTTTCGGTCGCGCGCCTAGGGCGCGTGACGATTTTTACTTAGTCCCGCCCACGGGTGTGTGGCTCCTACTCTGCCCGTCGCGCGCCCCGTGGCACGCGACGGTGCCCTTCATCTGCCCATCGTGCGCCACGTGGCACACGATGGTGCCTTGCTCGTCGTGCGCCCCTAGGCGCACGATCGGGCCCTTTTTATTCTTCTACCCGTCGTGCGCCCCGTGGCACTGGCACGCGACGGGCCTTTCCGCCCCTGCTCTCCCTGAAGCCGCCCCTGACCCATCTGCACCGACACCTTTTCGCCGCTCTGCGGCTTTCTTCCTTCCCACCCCCCTTCTTCCTTTGTCTCCCTGCAGCCGTAGGGAGGAGGGTATGGGGGTGGAGGGTGTTGGAGTGTTGGGTCACCTCTCTCCCTTCCCCTCCTCCTTCTTTCAGTCCCACCGCTGCAACTGCCGCTGGGGGGGGGAGGGTGTGAGGATGTGGGGGAGCAGGGGGAGTGGTACCGGGGTGGCGGGTGTGAGGCAACATGCAGCCGTCCCTCCACCACTCCTCACTTCCCCCCCTTCTCTGCTGCTCTGCAGCAGTGTGGGGGAGGGGAAGGAGGAGGGTGAGGAGATGAAGGGGTACCTGCTGTTGCTTGCTATGCTGTAACTACATATCTACCTACAAGCATTATGGGGGCGTGTCGAAATATATTGTCATGTTTTATAACTGCTTGTAGTTGTAGTTAGTGTAGTTATTTAAACTGTTGTTGGTGGTGCACCTTATTTGGTTTCTATGCTATATGTACCCTTGAACCTATAGTGAAACCATCCCTTTTCACCAATTCCTCTCTCAACTCACTCAACACCTCGCCTAGGGCAAAACCTGCTCGATACCTAAGTACGGGCCTAGGCTACTAAGCCTAGGCCCTTCCTTTCAACTTAGCCTATTACTTTGACATGCTCTGTGTGTCGTAATAGATCTGCAGCAGGCTGGGTTCGGCGGAACCATCCGTTCCGTTAGCACGCGAGCAGATTGCATGGATGGATTGGCCCTCGAAGTACACGAAAGGAGCGTTGCTCCATGCCGTTATAAAAGTGGTGTTTTGAGACGTCTCGAAAGTAGTAGCGTTGCTCCATGATGACGTTTCTCCCGGCGAAACGAATCCGCATTCCGCGAAACTAATCCGGCGTTCGGCAATGTTCTCGTCGATGCAGTCGCTGCTGTCTATTTGGAAAACTGCCAAAAGCCGGCCTTCTGGTAGCGTGACTGCCGTGAGCTCGCCCTTCCACTAGAAGTGAAGCTCCCCCTGCCGTGAGCTCGCCCTTTCACAGGCGACTCGCACAGGTTCTTGCGAATGAGTGAAGCGACGAGAAAATAATGTCGTGAGCAGGCTCCATGCGATAACTGCAGGGAAACAGCCGAATTTAGAGAAATGTCCGGTGAACGTCAAGCGACGTCGCAACTAGGACATGTATTGAAATCCGAATAGACTGATTTCGACTCGAATCATCGGATGGAATTCCCACGAAGAACACGCCAGGACCCTCAAAGGACCCATCTCGACTGCGTTGTGGAGGTTCGCTTTCTAGTGACGGCCAATCTCAGAGAAATGTCCTGCAACGGTGAAACTACGTGACGAATAGATCTACTCACGCGTTAACAAACACACAGTGTAACACCCCAAGCTATTATAATGGAGTTACAAGGCTTTTATAATAAATCCCAATACAAGATGAAGCTCTAGCTAGCTCCCAATAGCCTTTGAGGTGCCAATCTTCTTGAAGGAGTTGTTGAAATAGCTTGAGAGAATTGTGTAGGAAGGCTTGTGAGAGAGCCCAAAAATGACTTAGAGAAACAATCCCATTTCCAATTGTTTAGTTGGAGTGGGAGGTTGAGAATGAGCTTGCTTAGCTCAGACCCCCTCAATACCCCTTGGGGAACTATCCCAACCAGGGTTTCCATGGTGGGATGGTTCCTAGGCTTGGAGCCTATGTGGTAATTGTGTTGGGTTGGAAAACCCAACTTAGAGCCATTCAATGGTTGTGTTTAAGATAGAGTAGATTGTAACAATTGTTTGGCAGTTTCTGATTGGTTGGAATTCCAACCTTTGTGATTTCACTTTGATGGGTTGGAATGTTCCAAGCCTCAATGTTGAGGTTTGGATAAACCCAACCAGCCCTTCCTTCCCAACCCCTCCTTCCCAACCCCAACTACAATCTCCTGCAACTCAACCTTCATCGAGTTCAATCTCGAATGGTTGCCTTAGGAGTGAGGTAGCTCGATAGGTAGGAGTAGGGGATGCGTTACACTCCTCCCCCCCTAGGTGGCAACGTCCCCGTTGCCCTAGGGTGCTTCTGAGGACGAGTGCTTCGAGCACGGCGCACCACATTACGACCAGGGTCAACCCCGTCCACTGGTTGTGGGCCTGCTCGTAGAGCCATGTCTTCCATATACGCTTGAACCGCTGCTTCGGTCAAGTGTTGCTCAGGCTCCCAAGAGTTGTGTTCCGGCCCATAGCCTTTCCACTGAATTAGGAACTCACGAACAGCTTTGCGGCCGCGTTGTCGATCACGGTGCGTTAGCACACGCTCAACTTCGTAAAAGAGTTCCTCCTCGAGAGCGATGGTTGGTGGCGGTAAGTACTTGCCTTCTGCAACGTACTTATTCAACAGAGACACGTGGAAGACGTTGTGAATCTGCAATGTCGCAGGCAATTTGAGCCTATATGCGACCTCACCAACACGCGCGATCACCTCGAAGGGCCCAATCCAACGAGGGAAAAGCTTTCGTGCTCCCGGGATCTTGAGACGAATGTTCTTCGTACTTAGTAATACTTTGTCGCCAACTGCAAAAACGACTTCCCGGCGTTTCATGTCGGCATAGGACTTTTGCCTCTATTGGGCAAGCTGCAGCCAATGGCGAGCGGACTTCAATGCCGCTTGCTGATTTCCAATAAAGTCCTTTGCGGCAGGGATTTTGAGGTTCTTAATCCCATGCGTCGCGGGGGTTGTGGGGTGCCGACCACAGTTCAGGACAAAGGGTTTCTCATGGGTGCTTTCATGCACAGAATTGTTTACAGCGAATTCCACGACTGGCAACAATTCATCCCAATCGTCCTGAGTTGGGCTTATGAAAGAACGAAGCATTTGCTCAAGAGTGCGGTTGGTCCGCTCTGTCCGTCCATCCGTTTGCGGGTGGAACGCAGACGACATCTTGAGTTTCGTTCCGAGTGTCTTAATGACCTCTTGCCAGAACCGGCTTGTGAAGCGCGGGTCTCGGTCAGACACCATCACACGAGGCAAACCGTGTAAGCGGAAAACGTGCGTCACGAACAACTTTGCAGTATCCTCTGCGGACACGTCAGTCGTCGTGGGCACGAAGTGCACCATTTTGGTCAAGCGATCTACAAACACTAGTATCGCTGTATGACCATCTCGCGTCTTGGGGAGATCGGTGATAAAATCCATCGATACACTGTCCCAAGGTTCATCGGGAATCTCGAGTGGTTGAAGCAAACCACCAGGCTTCTGTGTGCTTGGCTTGTGCCGCGCACACGTGTCACAGCGAGTTACAAAATGCTGGACCTCAATGCCCAATCCCGGCCACCAGTATACATCACTGAGGGCCCACCGGGTTTTCTTGACACCTAGGTGTCCTCCATACTTAGTGGCGTGCACCTCTGCTAGAATATCATTCCGCAGGTTTCCCACATGTGGGACTACAATTTCTTTCTTGTGCCACCAGAGCTCATGCTCCCACAAGAGATCCTTCGTATTCTGTGGGTTCCGAAACCAAGGGTCAATATCATACCCTGCGCGAACGCGTTTCAGAAAACCACCAAAGGCAATCTCACTCACACGAGCAGCTGCGAGGAGGTTGAAACAAGCAGCAAACACTGCGTTATGTTCAGTATTATCAACACCCGTTGCTGCACCAATCGGCTGTCTGCTCAGAGGATCAGCCATGTTCGTCGAGCCCGCTCGATATCGAATATCATAGGTGAACCCACTAAGGAGTTCAGCCCATCGAGCTTGACGACGGGTAAGTGTGGCTTGAGTGGCAAAATAGGTGTTCGGACAGTGGTCGGTCGTGACCACAAAGTCAACACCTTCGAGATAACATCTCCATGTTCGTAGCGCATGCACAACTGCCAGCAATTCTTGTTCGGAAGTTGTATAGCGCTGTTCAGCTGGTGAAAGCTTTCTACTCTCAAATGCCACGGGGCGTCCTTCTTGCAAAAGGACTGCTCCAATCCCTACTGTCAAGGCATCAGTTACCACCTCGTAGGGCTTGGACGGGTCTGGCAAAGCCAGCACTGGAGCATTGGTCAGCATGGTTTTCACCTCCTCAAATGCCTTCTGGCATTGATCGGTCCACTGCCAAGCATTACCCTTACGAGTGAGGGCAGTCAGTGGAGCGACTACGGAGGAATAATTTTCCAAGAAACGGCGAAAATAGTTCGCAAGTCCGAGAAATGATCTGACCTGTCCTACATCCTGTGGAACGGGCCACTGTTGGACTGCCGCCACTTTCTTTGGATCAACTTTGAGGCCATCGTTGCCTACCAAGTGACAAAGGTACTCCAACTCGCGTTTGTAGAAGTGACACTTCCACAATCGAGCAAAGAATTTATGCTCTCGCAGTTTTCTTAACACCCATTTCAGGTGTTGCGTGTGTTCTTCTTCAGTCTTTGAGTACACGAGGATGTCGTCCAAGTATACCTGGACAAATTGGCCAGTTGCTTCCCGAAACACATCATTCATTGCTCGCTGAAATGACGCGGGAGCATTTGTCAAGCCAAAACTTAACACACGCCACTGAAAATGTCCGAACGGCGTTCTGAAAGCCGTTTTTGGAACATCTTCTTCAGTGATTCGTAGCTGATGATACCCCTGAGCTAAGTCCAGCGCACTGAACCACTGAGCTCCTTGGAGCCGATCGAACAGATCCTCAATTCGTGGTAGAGGGTATCTGTTCTTCACCGTAATCTTGTTCAAAGCACGATAATCTACGCACATGCGTAATCCTCCGCCCTTCTTGTTAACGAACAAAATTGGTGCTCCGTAAGGGGATGCACTGGGTTCAATCCATCCTTTTCTGAGGTATTCCTCGATCTGTTGTTTGGCCTCTTCGTACTCAGCTGGACTGAGGCGATACAGAGGTCGAAAGGGTGGAACCTTTCCTGGTTCAACAGGGATGGTGTGACCCACTGCGCGGTCAGGCGGAAGTCCATCAGGGATGGTTTCAAACACTTCCTTAAATTCCTCTGCCAGAATTTGCATCTGAGGAGGGAAATTCTCAATTGCTGGCTCCGAGGCCTCAGCATTCTCAAGCTGTACCACGAACAGTGTATCAACCGACTTAACAGAATGCCCGAACTGGTTGGCCAACGCACACAGCACGCTGGGACGTTTAGGCGTCTGTGTTTCAGTGGGCAAAGTATCATTGACTTGCCACTGGATTGCCTTTCCGTTCTTGTTGAACGAGACAATGTTGTACTAGAAGTCTAGAATGACTTCGTTGGCTCGCAACCAATCCATGCCCAGGATGAGGTCGACACCTGACAAAAGTGGTAGGACATACACGCGAACTGCTTCGCTATAGTCCTGTACATTCATGTCGATATATGTCTGTCCTTTACTTGGAATGACACGATCGTCACCCAAGCGGATGGGACATGACGGTCCTACAACGAGGACGTTGCGTGTCGTAACCCAAGTTTCATCAACAAGGGAGACCGACGCGCCTGTATCGACGAGAATCCTTGCTTCGTCTCCATTCATGCGTCCAGATAACAGTAGATTCTGTTGGAATCTTGGACGGATGGGACAAGCGACAACAAGTTTAGGAGGTCGATAGTACACCCTAAATTTGTTGTGAGCACGTCCAAACCTTTGGGATGTGGTCCACCAAACATGGTGCCCTTTGTCCCATGTTGCCAGGATATGCCATTCATGAAATCGGCGGAACAACTCTCCTTTCACGATTCGAGTCACCAATCCCACTGACGTGAGCGGATGCTCTTGGACACAACGGTCCACAATATCCATGATTGCTGGCAACTCTTTGAACGAGCAAGAGATGATTGAAAATTTATCTCTCAAAAATTCAATTGAAATGTTTTCAAGTGGGTACAATCGAGTTTTAAAAACATATTTTTCATTAATAGAAGAGGCATACAAACAAGCGATTTTGCATGATGCAAGCTTCTCTAGCTTTAGCAAATCCTCATCACGAAGGACATAAGCCTCATCTACTCGATCTCGCTCACCAACTAGGTACCCACCCCCTAGTTGGACTTCGGAAAATCCTTCGAGCCCGAAGGGCCAGAACCATCCGGCTTCTTGCCGTGGTTGGGCTTGCCGGAGTTCTTGACGGACTTCCTCCAACGGCAGTGATAGGACTTGTGCCCGAGCTTGCCACAGATGCGGCAACCCGCCGGGGGCTTATCCTCATCCTGAGGATCCTTGACAGGCCGAGCATGGGCCCTCTTGGACTGAGTCCCAGAGGATTCCCCCTTCTGCTGATAGGGCCTCTTCCAAGAGCCACTGCCCCTGTGTGCCTGAGTCCTGTTACCACCCCCCCTAGGGCCTTCGGCACTAGGCTGCCGCTAAGCACGAGCGTGAGTCATGTACGCACGGAAATTCACATCCGTGTCAATGACCTGCTCCTTGCACTCCTTGTAGGTCCTCCACTGGTGCTCCCCACGCACAACATGCACACGCTTGATGTGCTCAGGGAGTCCCTTGAAGAACTGGTGGATGACCTCGCTCTCAGGAAGAGCAGTCTTCAGCAGCGACAGAGTTTTCTCAAACTCCTTGGCGTACTCGCGTACAGGCTGGTCACCGCACTGGATGTTCTCCAGGCGGCTACGCACCTCGAGCGCCGGGGGCTGACTTAGGAATGCCGCCAGCATGGCAGCTTTGAACTCCTCCCAGCCAAAAGGATGGCCATTAGCCTCTGCGTGGCGCTTGTTGGCATACACCAACTTGCTCGGAGTGTCGTCCAGGGCAAGGGTCGCAGCGACCACGCGAGCCTCGCTACGCACATTGTGGATGGACATAAAGTCCTCCGCAATGGAGAGCCAAGTCTCAACGTCTGTTTTGCCATGGACAAAACGAGGCAGGGCCGAAGGGCAGGAGCCAAAAGCAGTTGCTGCTGCAGTAGGAGGCTCAACGCGTGCTCCAGTAGGAGGGGGAACAGCAGAGGGAGCATCAGCAGGTGCAGCCTGGCTGTTAGCGGCGTTGGCAACTCGCTCTGCTGCAGGAGCAGGCTGGTAGAGGTTTCCACGCCGGATCTCCCTGTACTGGGCCTGAAGCACAGAGATGTGTTTCTCTTGCTTCTTGAGCTGATCCTGCACGAACTGGAGAGTAGTCTACAGGTCTTGAATGAAGCTGGAGGTGTCGTTCTCCTTAGGGATCGACTGCACCTCCCTGGTCAGCTGCTCAATCAAGGCCTGAAGCTTAACAGAATCAGCCTCCAAGTTCTGAATGCGGCACTGTTGCACTCCAACGAGAATATTCTGCTCCGTGAGTTGAGTCTGGAGCTTGACAGCAATGTTCTCAGTCTCATTGGAAATACCTTCATCAGAGCCAGTCTCATCCTCATTTTCAGCATCAGCTTCAAAGTCCGCTTCACTTCCATTAATCTCCATGTCAACCACAAAGTCCTCGAGGTTGAGATCAATGTCAGCAGCAGCAGCAGCATTATCTCCCTCATTGCCAGCAACGGGCACCTCCTTAGTAGCATCCATCTCTTGACCAGAAGCCATGAAACAGGTGAAGGAGAGGAGATCTCAACAGATCTTATAATAATCTTTAAGAAATCTGATTATCTTTATAGAATAATCCAATACAGAATCCTTTAAGATTGACTTGTTTGCCAAATCTCTCTATCACCTCAATGATAGAGCAAGATAAACTCAAAAGAGTAATCCTCAACAAGTCCTTGTAGATCTGAAGATACACTCTTCTACTAAAAGTAGATTTGAGCCTTCCACCAAAGGTGGGTAAGAGAAATGAATCTCTTCAAATTTCTTCACAATGTTGATGAAGAAGGGGAGCTCTTTGTAGATCTTGTAGCTCCAATGGTGGTTTGAAGAAGTTGAAGTTGAAGATGTAGATCTTGAATTTTTTTTTTTTTTTGTAGATCTTGAAATTTCTTCAGTATCTTCAAGATTTTGATAGCTCCTTGGATGAAATCCTAGATCCACAAGCTAGGTGTCAAATGTTGTAGCCTGTAGTGAGGTTTGTCTTAGGGGGTACAGAAGTTAGGGTTTGTCATATGTACCCCAACCAACATCAATGGAACATTCATTCCTCATTCTGACATGGTATCAGCTAGGTTAGGATCCTGTGGGATCCCGTTCCTCCGTTCTCCGTTCGTACCTCCCGAGCCTGATCCTACCTCTCGTTCGTACCAGTTTCGTTGTTACCGCGCCTAGTACCGAGCCTAGCGCCATCTCCCCCGTCGCGTCACGCCCGTTCCCCCCCGTCGTGTCGCGCCCGTTCCCCCCGTCGCGTCGCGCCCGTTCCCCCCGTCGCGTCGCGCCCGTTCCCCCTGTCGCGTCGCGCCCGTTCCCCCCGTCGCGTCGCGCCCGTTCCCCCCCGTCGCGTCGCGCCCGTTCCCCCCGTCGCGTCGCACCCGCCTGTTACCCCCCCCGTCCCGTCGCCCTGTCCCGTCGCGTCGCCCTGCCCTGTCCCGTCGCCCTGTCCCGTCGCGTCGCCCTACCCCGTCGCGTCGCCCTGCCCTGTCCCGTCGCCCTGCTCCGTCGCGCCGCCCTGCCCCGTCGCGTCGCCCTGTCCCGTCGCGTCGCCCTGCCCCGTCGCGTCGCTCCCGCCCTTTCCCCCGTCGCGTCGCCCTCCCTAGGCCCTGGCCCGTCGCCCTCCCTAGGCCCTGGCCCGTCGCCCTCCCTAGGCCCTGGCCCGTCGCCCTTCCTAGGCCCTGGCCCGTCGCCCTCCCTAGGCTCTGGCCCGTCGCCCTACCCTAGGCCCTGGCCCGTTGCCCTACCCTACGTCTTGGCCCGTCGCCCTAGCCCGCTCTTCCGCTGCGACTGAGTCCTCTTCCCCCCCGGTTGTTACTCGCCTGCTCGTTCGCGTTGGTTCTCACTATGGCGACTCCGCGAGTTCTTCGTTTCGACGCCGACGGTAGACCCCTTGACTTTTCCGTCTGGCTTCTTCGCGCTCGTCGTCTGTTAGAGAGTCAGGTCCAGGGGGGCGAGACCCTCTGGTCACACGCTACTGGTGACCTCCCCGAGCCCCCCGAGCCTACAGCTTTAGGCCCTGCTCCTGACGACGCTGCTACGGCTCGCTTTGCACGTCAGCGCGCTGACCGGACGGCTTGGACGTCGCGTGACGCTGCGGCCTGCATCGCACTCAGCAGCCTCCTCCCTGAGTCCGAGGAGGTCCACTTTACTCAGGTTCGCACCGCTGCTGCGTACCTCACTGCGATTAAGGCCCGCTACTCTACTCCCGCTACTGTCTCTCTCGGCCGTCTTTTCCTCCCGTTCCTGTTTCCTGATCTTGCCTCGTTTGAGCGCTCTGCTGACTTGATCGCTCACCTCCGCTCGCTCGACGCTAGTTACCGCGCTGCTTGCACTGAGGCACAGCTTGCACTGCTTCCTCCCCCCATGGCGATTACTGTCTATTTCATCGCCACTAGCCTCCCTGACCGCCTTGCCTCTGTTCGTGACGCGCTTCTGCTGAAGCACCCTAGTGAGCTGACTATCGAGGTCCTTGAGTCTGCACTCAAGGACGTCGAGAGCAACCTTCGTTCGGTAGCTGCCGCCTCTGGTACTGTGTCCCCCCCACTCTTCCACGGGTGCACAGTCCCGCAGTTACCCACCTTCACTGCCTCTCTTGCCACTGCCGCTACTGACGCGACTGCGGCTGCTGTTACGACTGCGTCGCGGTCCCGCGGCAGGGGGGGCAAGAAAGGTGGTTCCGGTGGAGGTGGAGGCGGCGGTAGCGGAGGTAGTGGGGGTGCTGTTGCGACTGGCGGTGGTGGGAGTGCAGCGTCTGGAGAGACCCCTCGTGCAGCGGCTGGTGACTCCACTGCACCTGCTGGTGGCGGCGACCCTCGAGCTCGTCAGTCGCCTCCTGTACTGCCGGCCCCGCTAGGTGGAGCAGCGACGTGGTACCAGGCTCAGCGTCAGCAGCACCTTCAGCAGCAGCAGCAGCCCCTTTCCTCCCAGCAGCCTCAGCAGCAGCAGCGTCAGCAGCTTGCTCCGGGGTCGGGGCTGCGTCAGCCCCAGCGCGGTGCTGCTTACCCTCCCTGCCCCTACCAGGTTCAGACAGGTCCTCGTCGGGGCCACCCTTGTGGCCGCTTTCACCCCCCTGGTCAGTGCTTTGCTCAGCTCACTGACACGGTCCGGTTGACCTACGGGGTTGGCGGTCCTGCTCCTGACTGGCTTCCTCTGGTTCAGCGCTACGGCTCCGCTCTGTGGGGCATGTCTGCTGAGCAGTTAGTTGATCTGATTAGTGCTCCTCATGCTATGTATGCTGTTGTTGACTCTAGTGTTTCTGACTCTGTTTACTCTGGTGTTGTTAGCTTAGGTGCTAGTCTTGCTCAGTTGCCTGTTGCTAGTGTAGGTACTTGTGTAGACTCTAGACCAGCGACTACCTCAGAGGACGCTTCGCTGTCGTTCACACTGGACTCTGGAGCCTCCCACTGCTTCTTTCGGGACAGCACGACACTTACACCACTTCCTGCGCCTGTTTCTGTAGCGTTGGCTGATCCCACTACGGGACCAGTCACTGCACGTCACACTACCACTTTACCATGTCCTGCTGCTCCCTCCGGGTCTCTCACTGGGTTTCACGTCCCCTCGTTCTCCCGGAACTTGGTGGGCGTGCGACCCCTCGTGAGTCAGCACGTGGGTGTGTGGTTTGAGCCTTCTGGAGAGACTGCGGTGTGTGTTGACGGAGACTCTTACCAGCCTCTTGCTACCTTTACTGCTGAGCCGGGCTCGGGTCTCTACACTCTTCACACTGGCCCGCGTGCGCCGCAGTAGCAGCCGCAGCAGCAGCAGCAGCCGCAGCCGCAGCAGCAGCAGCAGCAGCAGCAGCAGCAGCAGCAGCAGCAGCAGCAGCAGCACCAGCGGCCGCACCAGCAGCCCCCCCTACTGCCACTGCCCCCGGTTCCCCCCCCCGCTCGGGTCCCCGCGTCTCACCAGGTTGCTACGTCCCCCCAGGTGTCTGTGTCGTGTCAGGTTCCTACGTCTGTTCCAGTCGCTGCGTCGTGCTCCTGCCGGTCGCTTGCCCACCCCACCGTTCTGTGGCACCACCGGATGGGGCACCCGTCCCTTCCACGTCTGCGCGCTATGTCTAGTCAGCGTCTTGTCCTAGGCCTCCCACGTGTCTTACCGTCGCTGCCGCCTTCGCCTGCGCCGCCGTGTCGTCCCTGCGTCGAGGGTAGGCTGCGCGCCACCCCTCACTCCTCCTCCCTTCGTCCGGCCACCGAGCCTTTTGAGACGCTTCACTTGGACGTCTGGGGCCCAGCCCCTCGTCTAGGCCCTGAGCGTGAGCGTTACTTTCTGGTGGTCGTTGACGACTTCTCCCGCTACACCATAGTGTTCCCTCCGGCAAAGAAGTCTGAGGTGACTTCTACGCTGATCAGGTGGTTGCTCACCACTGAGGACACTCGTGGTCGTCGTGTCAGCTGTCTTCACTCCGACCGTGGGGGTGAGTTTCGCTCCTGCATTCTCGCTGGATTCTGTCGCGAGCAGGGCATTCGTCAGTCCTGGACGCTTCCAGAGTCCCCACAGCAGAATGGGGTTGCTGAGCGCCGCATAGGCCTGGTCATGGAGATCGCCCGCACCTCCCTGACTCACGCCTGTGCCCCCCATTTTCTGTGGCCCTACGCGGTCAGGTACGCCGCGCACCAGCTGAACCTCTGGCCACGTGTCTCTCGACCAGAGGTTTCACCGACCAGTCTTTGGACAGGGTCCCCTGGTGTTGCGTCGCGGTTTCGTGTCTGGGGGTGCTTGGCTCTTATCCGCGACACCTCCGCGGACAAGCTCTCGCCTCGTGCCGTCCCCTGTGTCTTCCTTGGTTTCCCTGAGGACTCCTCTGACTTCCCCTTTTACCACCCTCCCTCTCACCGGTTCTTTGACTCCCGTGACGTCCGTTTCGAGGAGTCCACTCCGTACTACGTCAGGTACCCCGGTCGAGGTCTCCCGGTTCCTCCTCCCCCCCTCTTCCTGACTGCCGTTCCCCCTCCTGCTCCCCCGGTACAGCCTCCCCCCCCTGGTCCAGCCCCGTCAGGTGTGTCCCAGGCTACCCCTCCTCCTTCGGTAGCCCCTCCGGTACAGCCTCCCTCCCCACAGTCCTCCTCGCAGCGTGCCGCTGGTGCTAGCTCTCGAGAGGTTGGTGCGACGCCTGTTCCTGTACCGGTTTCTGGTTCTGGGGGTGCTGGAGTTAGAGCTGGAGTTGGAGCTGGAGTTGGAGCTGGAGTTGGCACTGGAGTTTCTGGTTCTGGGGGTGCTGGAGTTGGAGCTGGGGTTGGAGCTGGAGTTTCTGGTTCTGGAGTTGGAGCTGACCAGGTGGGTGCAGAGGACTCTTGTCGTCCGGGAGCTGGTGCTGGCCGCGCGGACACTGGGGGTGCTGCGTCTGGGGGTGAGGGTGCGCCTCCTTCGGGTTCAGGTGAGCCTGGGTCTGGAGCTGGTGTTAGTGCTGCCTCTGGGGGTGGTGAGCCTAGTTCTTCTGGAGTGGACTCTGGAGCTGCCGCTGCTTCGGACACTACTCCGCCCCCCCACCCCTACCCGACTAGGCA